TACCGCCTGCCTGCCTTCCCACTCCCTGCCCCCACCAGAGCAATGACTAAATGAACCCAGACAACAGCAGCCTGAAGAGAGAGAGCCACTATCAGCATGCTGGCTGCCCCTAGTGACGCGAGAACATGAGGAGTCGGGGCTCTGGCATAGGATATTTCGCATCTTACAGAACTGCCCTAGCTTTCTGGGTTAGCAGCTAGGATTTTCTTGATTGTTCCAGGAAGGGGTGGCCTCTACTGGCCTGGAAAGGAGGGGCAAATGGGAAGATGGGTCAGGGCGGGTAGGAACACAATAAACCCAAGAAGTCATTCAACTGAGGGTTTTCAAACTTTTGTTTGGCTACAGAATTATTATTTTATTTTATTTTTTTAACTGAGGGGCAGCCAGGAAAGCCACTTTGCTGAGAGCTGGGCCCGCCTGCAGCCTTGCTGAATCTTCTGGCCTCCCTCTTGTCACCGTCAGCCCCAAAATGTTGGCACACAGTTTGGTAACTACTAGTGTGGTTCATCTGCCCACTTCACAGATGGGGAACAGATCCCAAGAGAGGAGAAATCTTGCCCACAGACTTATGTGACTTGGAGGTTAGGTAGAGCCTAGAATTTAGTCTTTTCTCCCAGGAACATTCAAGGACAGGGAACAGGGACAACTGTAAGAGAAGACTGCCAGGCGTGTGTCTCCGGCAGGAGTACACACCAAGGAGAGGGGTACACAGGCCAAGTGGAGGAAGGAGGGGGCTGGCGTCAAGTCGACAACCCACAGTAGGGCAGCCCAACCTGCATGACAGACAGTAAAGGAGAAATACATCCATCTTCTGTCTTCCTCCTGTGGCCACAAATCCAGCCCCCGACCATGGGAGTAACCACCCTTCCATTTCTACCCCAGTCTCTGCCCTCCACCCCACCTCCCAGCCTCAGCCCTTTGACATATGGGCCTTCTGAGACCTCACGAGCCCTTGGACTTTCCCTCTTCTTAGTTCCTAGTCTCCTCCCGCCCCAGGAAGAGTGGGGTCATGTTTTTGCACCTTACTGGGTAATAATTTGTGCCCCGAGGTCACGAGTGTCCCCAGGGCCCCAACTCGCCCTGCTTACCTTGAGGCCTGGTGGTTTGTGTGCAACAAGCTCCCAGTCCTGCCCTGACTCCCGGGTTTTTCTAGAGAGATGGGTCATGGTTCTTGTGACATTTTCAAATGGATTTGTGGTCCAAAAAGAGATTAAGAAGTACTACATGAGGGGAGGAGGGGCCTTCAGGAAGGGAGAGAATAGAGGGAAGGGGAAGGTTGAGGGGAGCTTTTAGTGATTTTCTTCCTTGTGGGAGGTTTTACATGTGTTACTTGGTTTTCTTTCCCACACCTACCTGTGATCCTGGGTTACTGTCCCCATTTTACAGATAAGAAAACTGAGGCTCAGTGCCATTAGGTAGCTTGCCCGGGATGCAGCCTGGCCTAGGGATTGAACAAGTGTTGCACTTGGTTCTACAGAGACCCTCAGCTCTTTGAACATGGCAGTTGGTACTTCAGAACATCCATGCCAAACCTTGAGCCCACAGATCTGGGTCCCCAGTAAATTATTTCAGCAGCCCGAGAACCTGGTT